CGCTTCCTTGCCAGCATAAATTTTTGTTTTAGTAGTGAGCAAAACGCAAATATGCAAATAAACGTCTAAAAGAAAAGACGGATTTTAGTTTCTAAAGCACTCGAAACCAAAAACAGACTAGTTCCAAGAAACTAAGGAGTTGCAGATGTCTCAGTTGTTTCGATATTCACTGCACATGGATATTTTACGAATTACCAAGCTCTGTCCGACTCCGCATCTTCCGATTATAGATATTTGACAAAGTGTGACTCACTTTTAAGCTGCGGCCTACTCCCAATTTAGCGAGTTCAACTCCGCTCCTACTATTACTAATACGACAAACTGAAATACAATACGGAAGAAAAATGCTACTTCCTACTATTCGTCAATCATTCCTACAGAGAAGATTGAACATTCTAAATGCACTAAAAAAAGAATGTTTTAATAATGAAATGAAGAATGAATCTAAATGAAAAAAGAACGGAGTGTTGAAAGTAAATTAACTTATCCTCAATTAAAACAGCTTTTCATTTCTCCCTCTTGGATATTGAACCTGGGAAAAGGTTTGAGTCCTGAAATTGTGCCAACAAAAAAATTTTTCCACGTACGGCGCCATCTACAAAGTTCGTCTTTACTTTGGCGCTTCTGTGCTACACACGCGGAAACGTGAAAATTTGCTTGCCTTTTTAACACATTACTGCGTCACCGAAAACAGTATCGTATCTTGCTGTTCGCTGGCATAACCTTTGCCTTTATTGTCTGTGGGCTTTTTGCAGTTCAGTATGGAAAGAGTTTTTTATTTTAATGAGTTCTTTCCCGGTACTTCAGTGCTGAAGAATATTAAGCTTCTTTTTTGTATGCCACATTCTTGGGATTTTCTACCTTCAATTAAAGCTAAAAGGCTTGGCCTCAAATTCTTCTTAAATGTATCATTTATCAGGAAGACAGACGACTATTTGAAGTCATCTTATTGCGTCCATCAGTATTTTGTTATAGTTAGCAGGTGTTTAGAAAACTGTCAAAACCAAAAAAGATTTACATTAACGGGACAGTGACTAATATACTGAACAAAAAAAAGTTGGTTAAAAAGCGCCGAGGAACGAGAACCTTTCATCAACGTTGCTTTGAAAGGAGTGAAGTTCTGCGACCTTTGCGATTGGGCCGTTGTGCCGCAGCAAAAGAACGGGAATAGAGCTGCGTTTTGCTGCTGAGTACGTTCGAATACTGTTTGCATCGTGCCGCTCGGCGCCAAACCGTTCAGTTCAAATTCAAAGTTGGTCAGCTTTATGTACTTCTTATTTTATTTTATTTTTTAAACTCATTTCTCAATCTTTTTTTGAGCTTCATTTCTTGTTTGTTAGTAGTATTCTGGTGTTTTTATGTATCGGTTGTCAGTGTGCGTTAATTAACTTTTAAGTGGTTTAAGTTTGTTTTTTCGGCAGTTCTTCTTTGTGCTAGACGGTTAAGCTGTTAAAAGTTAGCTCTTCAGTTTCATCCCATATCAATTGAAGTTCTTCTGTAAATTATTTGACCGCCGATCGTGAAGAAAGTTATTTTTGTTTTTCTAGCCATTCTTGGTTTCTATACATCAAAGAAATTTTGGGTCTTTGTTGGTTGAATATGACGCTTTTTCCATACCGCCTTCTTTTGTCTCTCTTTCTTTCAGCTTTTATTGAAGCGTGTGGGGAAGTAATTATTTGAATCGAATTGTTTTGTCTTTTAGTTTATTATATCGAAGTTTTTCTCATTGAAAGGACTTTTACTGTTGCTGGTATTTTTCGTGCCTTTAGATGACGCGGGCCTCGCTTCATTCGCAAAGTACTGGCTCTGCAGAATCTACATCGTCTAATGAAGTGCTAGATGGTTTATATGCGGTACATGATGAACTTGGTTCTGGTGGTTTTGGCAAAGTGAAGCTGGCAACGCATTTGTTGACTGGCCAGAAAGTTGCAATAAAAATAATCGACAAACAGGCCATAGGGGTTTGTTCACGTGAACTTTTTTCCTTTCAATTATTTGGTAGCTTCCGCGGCTGTGATGACGAGAATTTTGTTTTCCTTGAATGTTTGATAACCGTTTAGTAAACCTAATTCAGTTAGCAAATTGGTGGTCTCACATTATGAAAGGTACAGAACGGATATCTGAGCCGCACTTTGTTAAGTTGATCAGTTGGTTTGTGTATATGTTGCTTTTTTTGTAAACTGTTTTTTATATGGTTTACAATTCTGTATTGCTTATATCTCTGGTGAAATCTTGGTGTCTTCAAAAGCTTTTTAAATTTATTTTTAAAAGTAAATTGAACCTATACTTTCATGTTTGTTCGTTTATTTGGTGTTTCAATTGGTTTTTTTTCATTTTGGAAAAGTCTGGTGAAGACAACCCATTTATCCCAAACATTTACTGCTTTTTAGCCCGCCTATTCCTTTTCTAGGATGACTTGCCTAGAGTCACTAAAGAACTGGAAGCTTTACGAAAGTTGTCTCACCAGAATATTTGCCGATTATATCAACATATTGAAACGGAGGAGAAATTTTATATTGTGATGGAGGTTCGTTTTAATGAGGGTATTACTGAGAAGATGATGCCCGACTTCAAAGTTTAAAGTTTTCTGATCACTCTGGCCTTTGTTAGGTCTCTGTATCGTTCTAAATTTTTTTTTTTTTTTT